CCCCGGGGGGGGACGTCTGCCCGCCCGCCCCCACCTCGCCACCGTCCTCGGTGCTTTAAACAGCCAATTAACGCACTAGCGGATTCTTTTCATACACAGGTAGTTTTATTTTACCGGTAAGTTGTTTGTTTTGTTTGTTTTTTTTTCCAGCCGTATTTCCATACACGTCTTTTTTCGTAGGGTCGCTTCCCTTCGGGTAGAAGGCTTAGTTTAAGATTCGCTCGTTTACCCTTGAACCTACTGAGCACAAAGCGGCAGGGAAGGCTGCCCCCGTACAGACTAATCCGCCGATAACCGGGAATGGTTGTCTAGGTACCGTCCCCTCCAAGAAGAGCGTTTAGTGTTCATCTAATCCCTCGATATTAAGTGATATTAAGGTAGGTCAGCTTCGTCTGGGGGTGTGGGGGGGTGGCGCATCCGCGTTCTTGCGGACCACCAGCCTCCCTGTCCTCTTCCCGGGAGCCGGAGGAAGAAAAATCCCTTCCCTGAAGCCTCGCGGGAAGCCAGCTGCCGCCAGGAAGAGGGGGGGATCATCCAGACTTTATCCAAGGCGGTTTTTGTTCCCGACGTCTGCAATTTCCAGAGGCGAACGCAGCTCGTACCGTGACCGAGAGATCGATCAGAGCCTCCGCTCCGTCGTAGCCACTGGGGGCCACTGGGGTTCGGACCCTTGGGACGTCCTGCTCCCCGTCGTTAACGCCAGCCGCTTGACGAGCGCGGGCCGTACGGAGCGGGGCTCCTCCCCACATATTTATTTCACGGACGGGAGCGGTGCCGGCTGTTCTCCTCCTCGCGACGGAGCCCCAATTCTTCGCCACCTGGCTCGCTCTGCCGCAAACAGCGGCCGGGCAGCAGGCATTTTCAGGGGATCCGTCTGCATTCCCTTCTCCCCAAATACAAAAAGAAAAAAGAAAGGGAAAAAAAAAAAAAAAAGAAAAAACACATGTATTTTAAGCTTTTCCTCAAAGCCAGCAAAAAAATATAAAGCCAAGCTTTAACAGGTGCAAGACGTAAACTAGGCCGTCGGACTCCGCCGGCTCCCAAGGCGATCGGAAAGGCCAGGTATCCGGGAGTCCGCTTCCACGCGCTTGGCAGCGGTAGAAATAGAGAACGAGAAGCAAGGACTTGCCAAACCCGAGCCATTAAAGTCGCAGAAATTCATTGAAACTCCTTTTCCAAGACTTAACTACCTCTCTCAATCAAAAGAAACAGTTAAAACCCTTCCCGTGCACTCCGTCGATCTGATACGCAGAAAACAAACAAGGAAAAAAAAAAAATAAAAATAAAATAAAATGAGATCCTTTGAAACGGAACTTGCTCGTAAAGTGATGAGGACAACATGCGCGGCTGGGGAGGCTTCCCTTTTTTTTTTTTTCTCTTTTTTTTCCTTAAATCCCAGGCTATGAGTACAACAAACATTATTGCTGGCGCTAGCTTCAACCCAAGTGGCGCGCACACGACTCCCTGCACCCGTCCGAGTCCTTTATAACCCCCTCCCCTCGTCCCCTTTCCTTTTACAGCGACTCGGGGACAAGCCCTTCTCGGTTTGCCGGTCACAGTGGGTGGAGAGGGGAGGTCACAGTGCGTGGGGTTGAAGGTCACAGTGGGCAGAGCAAAGGGGATCACAGTGCAAATAAACCAGGTAGTTCCCTTTGCTCAAGTCCGTTTGGGGCGGTGCGCCGGGTGGCGGCGGACCCTGCCTTCCGCAGCAGCATCTCTCGCCCGCGTTTATCTGCGTTGTTTGAAGCCTTGTGAGCCATCGGGACCCAGGGGTTGCCTAATCACATTACTGGGCTGCCTGGTGTCTTCCGGCTGGGAGATCCTCGGCGGCCTGCAAGGAGAGAGGGAGATCAGAGGCGGAGGCGACACGGCTGCAGGAACGCGGGACGCCTCCAACAAAGACGAGAGGAAACGGCCTCAAGTTGCGCCAGGGGAGGTTTAGATTGGACGTGAGGAAAAATTTCTTTACTGAAAGAGTGGTGAAACATTGGAACAGGCTGCCCAGGGAAGTGGTGGAGTCCCCATCCCTGGAGGTATTTAAAAGACGAGTAGATGAGGCGCTTAGGGACATGGTTTAGTGGGTGGTGGGGTTGGGTTGACGGTTGGACTCGATGATCTTAGAGGTCTTTTCCAACCTCAATGATTCAATGATTCTAAGACTCCCGCACCCGCCGCTGCCACGGGACAATCGTCACGCGTTGCTCCCCGGGATGGGGAACGCCACCGAAATCAAACTTTCTTTCCAAAGGTTCGGGAGTCTTATTCTCAAGTAGCTAAGACCCCCGTTGCAACTGCAGAGAGAGCACGGTGCCCTCAAATAATCCGCATCCGTTTTTAAGCTCGACTCTCCCGTCTGCGTGTGGTGGCTCCCCTGAAGTCAAAAACCTCAGCGAAGATGAAGATACGCCCTGCCAGGATAACTCTGGTTGCCCGCACTCCTTTCTACATCCACAGCACGCTCTTCCAAGGGTCTAGGATAACCTTTACGGCCTTATCAGGCACTTGCACTTCCCTTAACTCCCACGTATCTGAGCTTTACGATGCCCTGCTTGCTAACAAAGCCCTCCTTTCTCCTTGCCGGCCTCGCTTTGCTCTTCAAGGAGCTCGTCCCCCTCCTTCTGACAGGAAGGTGTTTGCGAGGAGCACGCACAGAGATGCCGCAGCACGAAAGGCCGCTCCCACCTAAAAAATAAGACGCGTTTCCTCACCTAAAAAAATAAGACGCGTTTCCTCACCTATCTAGAATGGGTTTCTCCTGCTCTTCTTCGGGGCTCGCGCTGCCCAATATTCGTTTCCTGGCTTCCGCGTACTCCGCCTCCCTTTGCGCCAAGGATTTCACGGGGAAGGCCGGTCTGCTGGCGGAGTTGGGATTGCTAAGCACACCGTTGGTCGTCGGCCTCTTCAAGATGCGGATCTGCGGGGGAGGACCTGCAGGAAGGCTGTCGTCCTGAATCACGATCGGCACTTTAGGAGGAGATTTTGATTTTCTACTGTTTAAAAGAAAAACATTTGGTTGGTACTTGTTTTCTACGGCGAGCATGTTTTTCGCTCTGCGTGCGAATTCCTCCCAGTCAGATGTCATTCCCGTGATTAAGAGGCAGCCTGTAATAATTAAAGACCTCGTTATATTTGTAACCCTAAACTAGAACAGCAGGCAGGTTTGCAGATTAGCTCAGGAAGGGACAGAAAACCAGTCCCTGCTGCGTTCGACATCTTTAAACTCGACCGAAGGAAAGGGAAGCAGACACCGGGCAAAAGTTTTAGCACTTCTATTCGAAGATACCGGTATAAGCACCTTGATTCCATTCCCTGCGAGGACTTTTAGGGCTCCTCTCGCCAGGATACCCAGCCTTCCGCTTCAACCCTGCCATTTCCCTTCTCAGAGCCAGCCTTGGCCCCCGTCTCACCGTCTGCATTTTTTTTATGGTCCCTTCTCTGTGCGGAAGTCCCAGAGAAGTAATACCATGATTCTTTAAGTGGCCTACTAAGAATCAAAAGGGGAAAAACCAACAACGAAAGACTTGTCAGAAGTGATTAGAAATATTTCTGCTAGAAGACAGTAACACACACACCCCCGCCCCAACCCAAAGTAAGCAGGAAAAGAAAGTCTTACTGATGCAAGACACCGCAAGCCAATTTAGGGCCATGAGTTGGGATTACCTGACTCACCCATTTCTTCCTTTGAGTGTCTTTTTCTTAAATGGCTTCCCCATAGCCGTAGCTACATCCAGTCTGGAAGACCCGGCTCTGAAATAAAATCACTCTCAAGAAGCTTTCCGCTACCCTCCTATGGATCGAAAGGGCCATCTAGTGGCACGATTACAGAGATTCCCTATTTCTGAACTCAAACCCAGCGCGCCCTGCTCAGTTTGAAGCTGTTTCCCCACTGTTCCCGCTCCCCAGGCCTTCAGATGTCCAACGGCACCTCAGGAAAACAAGGGGTTTTTTTAACCAAACCACACAGCATCGTTACCTTTCCTTCTGCGTGATCTTCAGCTTCTTTTCCAACCGTCTGTCTATTTCCTACAAAAGAAGGAGATAAAAATAAAAACCTGAAGGCTCGTCTTGGAGATTGGAGTTTGAGCCTGTCTGCGCGCACATTTAATCTCACTCTTCCGTACAGCGATACTATAAAGGGGGCAGCGAGAGCGTGTGCCTCCACCTGAGGATGACTCGCAAATCAAGAGGCAGAGAAAAGCAAAGCCACCGTGTATATTCTACCGCAGCCATTAATACACCTACAGCAGGCGGCGGATTTTGCGTATCGCTGTGAAAGGGCTGCGAGGAGCTCATCTCTCATTTTAAGGACTTCGGCCGGCAAGAAAGCTCTGTGAAGAGTAAAGAGCCACGGGAACACGCAGCAAGGTATTCCCAGATCCGAGCAGGAACCGGTGGCAAACCTCTCGGGCAGAGAAGCAGCAGCAGCTGGCCGGGGCGATTCACATCAGTCCACACGCTTGATTTCAGCGGGGCAGGTCAGCCCCGGAGCCTGCAGCCATTCGGAGGACTAGCCAGCAGGTCCGCATTCCTGCTGCTTACTGCAATAACCCTCCTTCACAAAAAAGCCCCTGCCCTGCCCAACACGTACCCAAGGACTCGCCGGAGCAGAGCAGAGCCTGATTGCGCTTCTCCTTCCCTGTGCAACATAGCTGCCGAGTCATCAATCGGCAGAAAGACGCGTTAATCACCCCTGAATGCCAACAGAGTGTGGCTTTAAGCACGGCAACTTCTGTCCAAGGCTTGCATCTACCTGAGCAAAGGTGTTTATGTTTTGCAGTGGGAGCAATTATGCAGAGACACCTTGCTAAATAGAAAACTAAAGCCAGCTTTCAGCCCCGGTCTCTCTTCAGGTAACCTTCCCCAACCTCGCCGATATCTTCAGATTCTCACGACTGCTATTAAAAGAGCCGCCGAAACAGCGATGTGTTTTATTTAATCATCAATGAAGAGGAAAAAAAAACCAACCCAAAACTACCTGAGAGCGTCCTAGTTTCACCAGCCGATAACTGGCAATACTGAAGGAAGTTCCAAGCTTACGGCAGGACGCAGCTGCTCTACTTTTCAGGCCGGTTCGCTTAACTACGCTGAAAGCTCGCTGTCAAAAATCACAGCAGGCGCAACCCGGTAAAGAAACTGGTTTGCACGGCAATTCCCCGATGCCCCAGTAAGCAAGGAATGAACGCAAGTCGCTACAAGATGCCAAACCACGCTGTTTGCTCTTGTTCACGCAGCTACACAGGCCAACAGCCCACGGTAGCCTCCATCTAGAAGGGAATAGTTATAAACCATTTTGGGAAGATAAACGGGGGGTGGGGAGGTTGAATTTTCTACCAAACTCTGTACTGGGAGGTGACGGGTGATTTGTAAGGACAAAACCAGCCAGGGGCTTGACGCGGCATTGAGCTGAAGGCCAGGTCACAGCTAGAGCCTCCCGTTGAGGGCAAAACACACCTGCACTTTCCTTCAAGAGGACTGGGAGGAAAATCCCATCCCAACGCTGCTCAGGAGGACGGAGAAAATGTACATCAGCTGCCTGCAAAGACGGAAGAACGGCTCTCCGGGAACAGGCAGCAGGGAAACGGATATCCCGGCAAGGATGAAGACGCTGTAGAGCGGCTGGCGGCAAACAATGAAAGTCCAATTAAGGGGAAGGGGTTAGCTCATCTGCCCGCACCACGCCAGAAGAGGTTCTATCCGGCTGTAGAACAGTCTTTAAAACACTTTTTCAAACTCAAATAGTTAACCGCGCCTCCCCAGGGCCTCCTGGAAGCGGGGGACTGGAAGGAAGCTTCCTTAAATATCCCTTATTAAATACTTCAGCGCGTGGGGGAGAGGGACGACAGGAAGATGGGGCGGAGGGGGGGGGGAAAGCACGCTCAAGAGCATCTCAACCCATTTCACTTAGTTTTCGGTGCCACGCAGCAACTACGAAGCCAGCTGCGACTCAGAACCACAGCGCTGAACCACTCAACTAGGACAGACAAGCTCGACAGCCCACAGCGAGGACCGCGGGGCACAAAAGCGTGACGAGCCACACAGTAGCCACGAGGAAGGCTCCATTCTGCTCTCCCCTCTCTCCTTCGTGGCAGAGGAGAGATCGCTTTGACAAAAGCCACATTTCTACATTCCTGGTGGCTTTGCAGGTCAGTCCTGAGGCTAAAGTCGCGGCCCATACATCGGACTACGAGATCCTGTAATTGCAAAGCGCCGGTTTGACCTCAGCATCTGAAAAACACCGATTGATGCCACTGTCACACTGACTCTGAGCACTGCCGGATAGCTCTTCACACCCTCACGCACACCAGACTTCCTCCGACTGCATCCTCTGACGCCAGAACCTGCAGCTTCCCCTACCAGAAAAAAAAAAAACAAACCAAAAACCACCCAGCTCTTTAATTTGCTCAACGCATGCAAACTTACTCGAAGGAATCCTTCAAACTCTGCCACCGTGACACCCCTCCCCAAACGAGCCCTTTACAGCCTCAGATTCACCCCTTCCTCCTCCTGTGCGGACCACTTCTTGCAAAATACTCGATACTTTCGCCCCTCATCCCTCCGCAATTGCCAGGAGCCACTAAGCGAATGCGGCACGGTCCTGGTTCATAAGCCACCGCACACAGGCTCAACAGTTGCTCCGCAGCTGGGGAGCTCCTCACCAAGGAGCAAAGTGACGGGCAGCTAAAATATCCTCTAAGTTATAACATCAACGGCTGTTAGAACCACGATGTGCTCTCCAAAACAAGAGGCTTCCTCCACACGTAGAAATCCTGGCAGAATAATATAAAACAATCATTCCCACCAAATACACACGTATCGCTCTCACCCCATCCAAACAACTGTCAGTCTTACACGATCCTCATAATTCCCAGCGCTGCTGAGGGGATTCCGGCTGCCTCCAGATATCCACTGAACTCTTGGGTAGAAAAAGCCTTCCTCTGTGTTCAAAGTGGATGGCTAGCGTAAAAAAGCAGCTCCCCACCTCACACACACCTCTTGATGTCGTTGTGTTTTCTTTTAAATGCAGGGATTGACCCCGTCTTTTCTCAGCAAAAGCCACAGCGCTGCAAACTCTCGGTGTTTAATACTACTACGTTTGGAATTGTAGGTATGGAGGCGTTCGAAACGTGGAGAGCATTGCCAATTCAAATGGGCAGCCCTTAACCACCCTGCGAAAACAACCCAAGACATGAGTAGCCTCGCACAGCTAGCGGTTCGTGACGGGGATCACGCTGCACGAATTTACAAGCTTGAGAAGCAGAAACGCCTTGACATGGCTTATTCTTAATAAAAAAAAAAAAATATCCCTGCCGCTGCTCTCCACAGATCTGTTCGTCTGCTGATGTCATTCCCTTTCCACTGCTATGTCACGTTGTCACCAAGCTGTGTGGGTAACGAGATAAAATTAGGACCTGACTTACAGGACAAGTGCCAGAAGAGCTACAACAACCCAAAGGCACGAGCTCAGAGGAGAGGCAATTAGACTTGGCATTCGAGGACATCACGCTGCACGTACCCAGTAGCTGGGCAGGTCGCACTGTACAAAAACCAGTTATTAATCTCCTTAAGAGGCTCTCCTAGCTTTCATTTCCCAAACAAACTTATTTATACAGCCAAAAAACTAAGCCTCATTTACACCCCCATTCAAAACACCCTCCCCAAAGATTAGTAAAGAATCTCAACAAACTATTTTTAGTGCTATTATGTCTAGATACTAAAAAGGACCCAAACAAACAGCATGAAGGACACTGTTCTTTGACATTTAGGCCGCGTTGGTAGATGAGGACGTAATGGAAACTGAACTCCAGCCCCATCACAGCCATCCTTCCTACCCTTTAACCCCGAGAAAAATAGCGATGCATGGAAGGATCAATAAAACACCTCTTGGAAAGCAGTTAGGCACAGACGCTAAGACACAAACCTGCTGCTTAGATCCGACACTCCTACGGTCTGTCATCCTAAATAAGAACCCCACCAATATAGCGGATAGTTTTGCGATGTTATTGGCGACTTGGAGATAGATGCTCCCCCCCCCCGGACACCCCAGAAACGTGCCCTTCAGGAAGGGATGCCCCTATGGAGGACGGCTCCTACGGATGGCGGTTTCACACAGAGTCGAGGCGCCATCCCAAGCAAAGCCGGTTCTCCGGCGTACTGCAAAGCACAAGCAGAGAGAGGCCCGAGTCAGCCCTAGCTGTTGCCTAAAGAACTTTGTTGGAATAACTGTAGTGCGTCGGACACGTATAAAGAATTATCCTGCACATCGCTGCCAGCAAAGACTCTCTACACAGACTAAATAACAGCAGCTCCAAGCTCTGCTGATACGGGGGAAAGGAACAACAAGATAACTGCTGGCTATTTTTTATTTCAAGTTTAGCGAGTAACCACGACTGCGTGTTTGAAGGCAGGCAGAGACTTGGGCTTCCTACAAATCCCTTACGCTAGGAGGGTATTTCCCCCTCTACCTCCAAAATTAGGTTACTTTGCAGAAATCGAGAGGAGATACCTACCAGCCCTCCTGCCAGAGCACAGGATAGTCACCGGTAAAGGAAGCTGTGCTCTCCTAGATATTTGATAACATTTCAAATATGCAGCTCTAGAAAACCATTAACCACATTCTTCGGTGTATTTACTGGAGATTACTCCCAAACACAACCTTCTGCCCCTGCTCACTCAAATAACGTGTAAGATCAAACCCAGAAAGAGGGATTTTAGCCTAGAGTTGCATCCTCCCACACCAACGCTAAAAACAAAGCCTCATCTGCTTACTGAAAGCACCATCAGATACTCTGGCATTTTCTAAAGGACAGGAGATAAACTTCAAGGCCTGGTTAACATTCTCTTCTTTAGAAACAAAAATAGGTTTTAACATCTGAGGTTACCAAAGCTGTTAATGCGTACCCAACAACTTACAGCTGCAGATATCTGACTCACCACTTCACTGAAAACACCGCCAAGAAAGAGCAGAGGAAGATAATCCTAAACTATCCCCAATCCGACTCCTCATTAGCTACCTATTTCTTTCC